ATGGGGGATGCAAACAACCGGGTGGCTGCCGGAGAGAATCACGGCCTGGAAGCTTTGTGGACGGAGCACCGTCAGTTGGCGAGAAGAACGGAGGACATCGCCAATAATATAGATCGCTTGTTTGGAGAAATGCACCGAGAATTGAGGTTGATTAACGCTCGTCTTGATCGGAATGTTCATGCTCGAACGGTAACTCCGGTGGTTATGCCGGCAGTGAGACGGGAGCCCGTGACGGACAGAGAGCGGCAACAAGATATTCAGCGGCCAATAGATTCGGATTCGGATGCAGAACTGAGGCAATTTAATTCGGGGGAGCTGACTAATTCTGAAGAGGAGCCGGTTTTGATTCGAAGGCATCGCCGGAACGCCAGAGACCGCTATCCAGGTGAATTTCGAGTTAAATTAGATATACCCTTTTTTGAAGGAAAACTACACATAGAAGACTTCTTGGATTGGGAGAGGGCCGTTAAAACCTTCTTCGAATACATGGAGATTGAGCCGGAGAAACAGGTGAAGTACGTGGCTTGCAGATTGAAGGGCGGTGCTAGCGCGTGGTGGCAACAAATTATTCAATCCAGGAGGCGAGAGGGGAAGGGTAACATGCGAAGCTGGCACCGTATGAAATAATTGTTGAGAGGCCATTTCCTCCCAACAGACTTTGAGCAAATGTTATATATGCAATATCAACATTGTGTGCAAGGTTCTAGATCGGTAAATGATTATACGGAAGAATTCTATCGCTTGAGCGTGAGAAACAATCTCAACGAATCCGATAATCAATTGGTTGCAAGATACATTGGAGGGCTGAAGGAGTCAATTCAGGATCGTCTTGAACTAAACTCGGTTTGGTCATTATCACAAGCCATGAACTATGCCCTCAAGGTAGAGACACAATTGCAGAGACAGATGCATCATAGGCCACTCAGGAGAAATTCTGAATTTCAGCATTCAGCCGAGGCAAGTAAATTGGGTTCTCAGAACACACCGAGTGGTAACAGATCAATACAAGCTACAACGGCCAACAATTCATTTTCTGGTAATGGCAAGAAAAGTGTGGAAGCCAAGGAAATTCAAAAAGGGAAGGGTCCTGTACGAGAGAACCCATATGCTAAACCTGCAGGTATTAAGTGCTTTTGATGTTTTTAAGTGGGCCACAAGTCCAACGAATGTCCGACCCGGGCACAAATTCAATTGATGGATGGTGAGGAAGAAGAAACTTTCGAAGACAACGAGGTGACCGATGATGCCGATGCAGAAGATGTGGCAGGAGATGAAGGAGATCCCCTGGTTTGTGTTTTACAAAAGCTTCTCATAGCTCCTCGGAAACCCAGCAAGACACAACGTAATGCTTTATTCAAAACTAAATGCACTATCAAGGGTAAAGTCTGTGATTTACTCATCAACAGCGGCTGTATGGAGAATGTTATTTCTCGAGCGGTTGTTCAAGCATTACAGCTTAAAACCTCCCCCAATCCAAATCCGTATAAGATAAGCTGGGTACGAAAGGGGATCGAAATTACAGTCTCGGACATGTGTAAAGTTTCGATTTCCATTGGCCGCCACTATGTGAGTGAAATTATGTGCGATGTTGTAGACATGGATGTATGCCATCTGATTCTTGGAAGACCGTGGCAATTTGATATGGGAGCCATTTATGACTGTCGGGCGAATACTTACAGCTTTGAGTGGAAGGGTAAGAAGTTACGTTTGCTACCGCATTCACCAGAGCAAGAAAGCAGCTCTTCACATAGCAAAACGGCCTTGTTTGCTGTTACCCGAAAGGCTTTGCTCAACGCTTGGAGGGAGTCCGATTACATCCTGGCATTGGTCATTTCAGAACAGAACACTTCTACAGAACCTTGTGCAGTCCCAAAGTGTATTAGCCAGTTATTGCATCGTTTTATGGACATTGCTCCTCCTGAGTTACCGTCCGAGCTACCTCCGGTTAGAACAATTCAACATCAAATTGAATTAACTCCTGGATCAACGTTGCCCAATTTGCCACGTTACCGCATGAGCCCGAATGAACACAAGGCTTTACAACGAATTGTTGATGAATTACTTGAGAAACAATTAATCCAACACAGTCTCAGCCCATGTGCAGTGCCGGCTCTGTTAGTGCCCAAGAAGGATGGTAGTTGGAGGATGTGTATCGACAGTCGCTCCATAAACAAAATTACAGTTAAATTTCGTTTTCCAATGCCACGTATGGAAGACATGCTGGACAAATTGGCGGGGGCTCAAATCTTCTCCAAACTAGATCTGAGGAGTGGCTATCACCAAATTCGGATTCGACCGGGCGACGAGTGGAAAACAGCATTTAAAACTCGCCAAGGTTTGTACGAATGGAGAGTCATGCCATTTGGCTTATGTAATGCTCCGGCAACTTTTATGAGACTAATGAATGAAGTTTTAAAGCCCCTTCTCAATAAATGTTGTGTGGTGTACTTCGACGACATTCTTGTTTTCAGCACAACTCTGGAAGATCATGTGAAACATTTGACATCCGTTTTCGAAGCTCTGCGACACCACAAGTTATATTTGAATATCATAAAATGTGAGTTTGCAACTCCTCAAGTGGCTTTTCTTGGCTTCATGATTTCGGCTGCTGGAATACAAGTTGATCCAAGGAAGATTAGTGCTATCCGAGATTGGCCAACACCACGCACTTTTTTTGATATCCGCAGTTTCCATGGATTGGCGAATTTTTATAGGCGGTTTATCAAGGGATTCAGTTTGATCATGGATCCAATCACTGACATCCTCAAACAACCGCAATTTTCATGGGCAGCAGAACAGCAACATAGTTTTGAATTGATCAAAACCGCCTTGACTAACGCCCCTGTTCTAGTTTTACCAGATTTTGATAAGCCATTCACCGTCGATACTGATGCTTCAATGGTGGGGATCGGTGCTGTGCTATCCCAAGATAATAGACCGGTTGAATTCTTCAGCAAAAAATTAAGCCCGTCTCGACAAAAATGGACGGTATACGAACAGGAGCTGTATGCTGTCATCCGAGCGCTGAAACAATGGGAACACTACTTACTACATCAAGACTTTGTTCTTTGTAGTGATCATAAGGCTCTTCAATATATTAACACTCAAAAGAACATCAACCGGATGCATGCTCGCTGGATTATATTTTTACAAAAATTCACCTTTGTGTTAAGACACAAGAGTGGAACACAAAATCTGGTAGCTGATGCTTTAAGCCAGAGCGTTGTTCTCTTAACTCAGCTACAGACGGACTTCTCAGGATTAGAAGGTATCAAAGATTTATACGTTGATGATATTATTTTTAAAGAAATTTGGTCCAAGTGCAGGAACCGTGAAACAGTGGCAGACTATTGCTTAAAGGATGGATTCTTATTTAAGGCTGACTTGCTGTGTATACCGAGTTCATCCTGGAGGCAACGTATAATCCACGAAGCTCACGCAGGAGATTTGGCGGCTCATATGGGGCGTGATAACACCATCATTCAGTTGCAGACACGGTTCTTCTGGCCACACCTCCGGCGTGATGTGAATAAATTTGTGCAACGGTGCGCGGTCTGCCAAAGCTACAAGGGAGGGGGACACAATACCGGCTTGTATCAACCGTTACCGATCCCAAGCTCGATCTGGGAAGATCTAAGCTTAGATTTCGTGTTGGGTCTTCCACGAACAAAGCACGGTAACGATTCCATTATGGTTGTAGTGGACAGATTCTCCAAGATGGCGCATTTCATTGCGTGTAAGAAGACGTTTGACGCCCTCAACCTTGCCAAACTTTTTTTTAAAGAAGTGATACGTCTTCACGACATTCCCCGCAGTCTTACTTTAGACAGAGATGTTAAATTTATTAGCCATTTCTGGCGGGAGTTGTGGAAGCGCATGAGTACACAGATACAACTGAGTTCAGCCTATCATCAACTAACAGACGGGCAAACGGAAGTGGTTAACCGGACTCTCGGCAATCTCCTCCGATGCCTTGTTCAAGAACATCCTAAATTGTGGGATGAAATTCTCTGTCAAGCCGAGTTTGCCTTTAATTCCATGACTAATCGGTCCATGGGTATGTGTCCGTTTAGTATTGTTTATACCAAATTACCTAACACGGTACTTGACGTTGCAGTTCTTCCCAAAACTCAAAGTAAAGCCGCTGCTACATTCGCGGATCAATTTGTCAAATTGATTGCTGACGTTCGCTGCAAGCTACAGGAATCTTCCCAAAATTATAAAACAGCCGCAGATGTACACCGTCGGGAACACACCTTCCAACCAGGAGATTTGGTATACGTACGTATACGCAAGGAGCGGCTGCCACCAGGTCCTCAGTCAAAGTTAAGCAGGAGAAAATGGGGACTGTTCGCTATCAGCAAAAAGATCAACGACAATGCATATGTTGTCGATCTTCCGGCCGAATTTACTACGTCACATACATTCAATGTTACTGATATATTTGCTTATGTGCCACCAGATGACAGCCCAATTACTATCGAATCGGTACAATCCGATTCTTCTCACGGCTGGGGCGAATGATGTGGTGCATCGATACTACAGTGATCCTGAGGAGCATTTTATCTCATTTTCTCTTATTTCGTTAGCCGTTTAGCACATGACCACTATCTTAGTTACTTTAGTTAGTTAAACCGTACTGTTTGGCCTTTTTACTTTTTGTCCCGTTTGGGGAACGCCTGGAGAGGAAGGAGAGGGGTATATGAGTGATGAGTATAGCAGAGTATAGCAGTTTTTCTTGATTTTCTAATACAGAATTCCTGTTTTATCTCTTGTGTTCTGTAATCCTTTCATTGCAGGTTTTGATCTTCATCAATAAGTCTTGATGCAATCTAGTAATGTGGGAGCCAAAATGGCCATTGTCTTATGCAAGTCTCATAGCACTACGATCATCGGAGCACAATCATTCAATCTCAATATAAGACAAGCAATTAATAGAAGTAAAAAAAAAAGGAAATATGGGGTGCGATACAAAGAAACATGCAATTTATCAGCTTTACCATTCTTCGATCTATCATGGAGCAACCATCAGAGCATAGTAAGGTCGGAAATGTGTCAAAACCCTCAGACAAACATAAGGATAGTATAAGCCTCATCCCCTTCTGACATTCTGATGATTCAGCCAAAGATATATCTCCAGTTGACTTTGTATAGGCTCGAAGAAGTATAATCCACCAAAAGCCAGAATCAATAGGAGCAACTCTTCCAATGGCACTCTCGCCAAAATCTGCAGCTATGGTATCAGTTTTCCGAATGGGATCGTGAAGAACCTTGAAGCTGGCTGGCATAGCTCCTTCACCAAGCTTAAAGCGGTCTATCCTCTTCTCACAGCTTTGAAGTTGCAGAGTTTTCAATAAAAAGTTCTTAACTATATCAGATTCCCCGTTCATAAGAAAAGCCATCGCACTTGGAAAAAAATCACGCACAAACACCTGTTCCCTAGGCAAGGAAACTATCAAGAAGCAGGTTTGGGCTGATCAATATTCCAATTATATCATATGATTTTCTATCACTTATTGAAACTAAAACAAAATTATTATCTCAAAACTGTTTTATCAATGTTGTAAGCATTAGATATGCAGAGTAAATTGCAGAATTTAAAGAAATGTTCGTATCCAATAACATTCAAAAAATTATAATAAAAAGAACTGTGGCAAACTGGAATGCGAGATATCATGGCATTATCCCGTCCAGTTTTAGAGGCAGCTTATGGTACAGTGCATACCTGATCATAATTTAGGACTTCTTCAGATTGGTTATCAAAAGCGGCCATGGTTCCAACCGGGAGGCCGCGGAAATACACCAACGAGCGGCGTAGAGCATCCCAGGCTTCGCTCACCATTGGGACGGTTTCCAAAGCGTGAGGAGTTGACGAAGCTGGAGTGTTCCATCCCGCCCCTGATGCCATAGGCGAGAACATGTTTTCGTAACTTTCAACATTCCTAAAGTTTCCGGCTATAGAGATCTCGCTAATTGTTCGCTCATCCAGCGACCTCTTCCGCTCGATGATTAGCATCGGCTTGTCGAGCAGCCGCGAGAGGTCCAAGTCGTCGGCGTCCATATACGAGTTCGATTCCACTTTCCGAAAATCGGATTCCCGGGCTTCCTCCATCTCTCCGCCGTAGAGAAAGATCCACCGATCTGCATCAAGCGCCAACAAATCCAATAAATCAATCAAGAAATCTAAAAATGCAAGATCGTCCTGTTAAAGATCTGGGAGCTCCAGTTGCACAATTTGCAGGAGAAAAAAAAAAACAATTTCTCGAAAGCAAAATAAAACAGAATAAATCCAAGAGGAATGGAATTGGCAAGGAGAGGAGACAAAACCAGAGATGTTCCAATGAGGAAGAAGTGAGCTAGAGCTACGTAATCCGGGGCTGTTGAAGCGGATCGGAAGGAGCAAGGCTCGGGGGACGGGGACGATGAGTAACAGTGGAGAAGAGTATTTATAGTTGGAGGGAAGACGAAGGTGACCGAGCGCGAAGGGAATCGCTTCCCTCGCGGGTCCCGCCTTTATGGTTAAGGAAGGAGAATGCATCGCGAGTTGTTGGTTGGAGTGTCTGCGGTTAAAATTAGAGTTGTTTGGAAAGCCAACACTCGTGAACAGTCTTGATTTGATACTTATCCATTTTCTTCACTAAGTAAATGCGATGATGTTGAAGTATACTTACTTTAGTTTATGTATTAAATTAGATTAAAATGAATAAGAATCCGTTTAATATTTTTAAATTGATATAGTCCATTTTGATAAGTTGGTTGGGAGCTTTGATTATTAATCAAGAAGTTTATTCCAGTCTTACGTATATATCGTGTGAGAGTTTATCTTAATTGGTCTAAATATTCCAATATATATGTTTTGTTCTAGAGTATTTGTGGCGGTAGAGAGATATAAAGTTTAATGTCTTAGCTTGTACGAAGATCCAGCACGCAATCAAAAAAAAGAGAGGGTGCATCATTTATAAGAGACACAAAAATTTTTACGTGAAAAACTCCTGAAATGGGGGAAAAATCACGGGGCCTAGCCCAGTTCGTTTGAATGAATCCATTAGTATTTGCAGTCTGTTACAAACGAGGCCCTTCATTAGGGGGAAGGTCATGGCTTGATGTAACAAATATATATCGTACAGAGTGTGTTACATGATGGAAACAAGAAGAATCACTGTTGATGTGCTCGTTTGCTCGGAAGGACCGTAGTCAGCCGAAGACGGAGGTCGGAAGGATCGTTGTCTAGCGATAGAGGTCAGAAGGATCGTAGTCAGCGTGCGACGGAGGTCATAAGGACTGTAGCCGGAAGGCGATGGAGGTCTGGTATCAATTGGTGGCCTTGCTAAAGTCTGACATTAGTTGGTGGTTGGGTAAAAAAAGCTGGCATTAGTTGACAATCAGGTAGAATTCTAATGTTTGTTGGTAGCCAGGTACAAGTCCGGCGTCAGTTGGCAGTCGGGTAGAAGTACGATGTTGAATAGAAATACAACGACAAACAAAAGTCTAGCGTCAGGTAGAAGTTCGGCGACATACACAAGTCCGGCGACAGGAGAAAGTTTGGTGTTTGGTAGAAATCTGACGATGGTCGACGTCGGGCAGAACTTTAGCGTCTGTTGGTAGTTAGGAAGAACTCTGGCACCAATTGGTTACCGGGTGAAAGTCCGGTGGTTGTCGAGGAGGTGTCTCTTCCTCTCTTCCTTTTATTCTTGCTTTCTTGCTTAATTCTGACATCAGTTGGTGATTGGGAAGAACTCTAGAGTCGATCAGCTGCTTGGTGGAAGTCCGAAGGTGGTTGAGGAGGAGTCTCTTTCTTCTCTTCCTTTTCTTCCTTCTCTTTTTGCTTGGGCATCCTTCTTCCCCTCTTTGGGGGTCCCTTTCTATGAGAAACGATGAGTCTGTTTATAGTTTTCTCAGAGTGACATGACCAGTAAATATAAGGAAGATCAAGGGTAAATTGGGAGTGCTTTGAATGGATAGTTGATGTTGAATCTCTTGATCCTAGATTATTTATTGAGCATTTAAATGTCTTAATGATATCAGAATTTGGTGATCATTAGCTCACTGGATTCATCTCATCAAGCCACTCGATTCGAGTATAATCTCACTACATTTAGAAACTATTTGGCAACCCAAATTATGGATTGAACCATTCAAATGTGCTTCGAGTCATTGATTTGGGTCCATTTGAGCTCGGTCAAATTTGGTGTCATTGGGTTTGTATTTTCGAGACCTTCAGTTTGACTATAAATTTGTTGAAATCGGAATAGAGATGGTCTATGATTTAATTTTTGAACTTTCTAACTTGATTTTTTCTTCGAGATTAGTACCAATCAACATAATTTTTGATGATATATTAGTTGCCCTACTTTCAGACGTCAATGCTTGCTCAGTCTGAAAATATATATATTATATCATTTCAAATTATTTGAATCGCAAAATATTTTGGAAAATTGAGTTCCAAAAAATTTAAAATTGCTTAAATTTGATCATAGAAGCTCGGTTGAGCTCCGAAAGTTTCAAAATTGAGTCCAGAACGTCAGAAAAAAAGTTTCGGAGACCCCAAAAACATCTGATTTGGATTGTCCAGACCAAAATTGGACCCGAACATGCATAGGTGGCTGAACCGGTCGGCCGGCCGGCCTGCCGCCGGTAGCTGCACTTGCACTTGGCAGAAAGAGGTTCGCCAATTGGCGTAAGTTAACAACAGCAACCGGTTATTTAACCAGTTATATGCTGTAATAAATATCTTTTTAAATCTTGTGGTGCCCACGTAATTTTTTTTTAATGGGGTGGCTGCTACAGCCTCCCCTTATCTATTTTTTTAGGTGGGTGTTTGTTGGAATTTGAAAGCGGATTTTTTCAAAGTTTGGTTTTCTTTGGGAGTTAAAGTTAAATCCTAATTCTAAAATTGAATCATCCTGTTAGAAAGATTATATCACCTCGAAAGGAGAAAAAAAATTCATAATAGCTTTCAGATTTAGAATTATGAAATTCATCTTGAATATTATAACCGGATGCTAAAGAGAACTTCATATGGCCCCAAAGGGTCAAAATGAAGTTCAACGGAATATCCAGCTATAATATTCAAGAAGTGTGATCGTTAAGTTCACATCCAAAACCTTATTAAAGAAAGATGTATCTCCCCAAAGGGAGATAACGTCATTCAATGATAATTCTTTGAATGTGATAATAACGATCATCTTTTGATCTTTCCCAAAGGAACCCAATATAATTTTTGAAAAATCAAATTTTTAAAATCAAGTGCGTGTGTGGTTCTAAATCTCCTAAGAGCGCAAGCCCTCATAGTTAATTACATCGTAGGGAGATATAGTCCCCTATGAAAACTCTCGATTAAAATAGCGACAAAATTTCATTAGATTTTATAGGAGTGATATCAAAAATAGGTGGATTTTAGAAACTCAAAAGGTAATGGATCAAAATTGAGCAGTTATTAACAGAATCAAAGGAAGAAGAGTAGAGGACACTTTGAGATTTCGGAACCATCCGAAAGTGTCCCAACTTAATCTAAGTGTTGGGCTTTATATTTTAGATTGAAATGATATTTATATAAAGTTGACCATTTTATTAGAAATTTGAGATTAGATTCCCGAAGTTTGGGGTCTTATAATCAAAGATATGCCCCAGATCCGAACCTAACTAATGCAGTGCAAGGTCTGGACTTACCCCGGCCTGGATTGGGGAGCTAGCTAACCACCTACCGATTTAAAATACATGAGTCCCAGTCTTTTATGAAAGAGTAGTATGGACATTTTATTTAGGGTTTAGGAGAGCTGGGGCCGACATCTAGAGATTTTTCTAATTGACCCCTTTGACTTATGTTGGGTGCAAAATGCTAAGAACTAATGCAATTAAAATTTTAACTCTTTCAAATGTGTTTCTAATGCAATGCATGCTAGTCAACAACTTCAAATCAGATATGCTTGAAAGTTAAATATAGGCTTAAAAAATAATTTTTTAGAAGACTAGGCTTCCGCAGGCCCGACACCTCATCCTCATAGGTCAGACTATCCGGACTCTACCCGCAGGTGGGGAAAGGTCTAAAGCAAGGAGAGAAATAGTGCAGAAATATGCATGCGACCCCCGGGTCAATCCCTGGCTAGTTCCCTAGATTCTTTATCTTTCTATGTTATTTAGACTCACTAATTTTTAAATTTTAAAATTATGAGTATAAAATTTTCACACCCTTACGACTCTCACGAGTCCAGGCGAAAATAAAAGCGGTACACAAACGCCAAAAAAACTAGGAAAAATAGGTAATCCTATTTTTAGAAGACTAGGCTTCCGCAGGCCCGACACCTCATCCTCATAGGTCAGACTATCCGGACTCTACCCGCAGGTGGGGAAAGGTCTAAAGAAAGGAGAGAAATAGTGCAGAAATATGCATGCGACCTCGGGGTCGATCCCTGGCTAGTTCCCTAGATTCGTTATCTTTCTATGTTATTTAGACTCACTAATTTTTAAATTTTAAAATTATGAGTATAAAACTTTCACACCCTTACGACTCTCACGAGTCCAGGCGAAAATAAAAGCGGCACACATACGCCAAAAAAACTAGGAAAAATAGGTAATCCTAAAGGCAATCACATCAAAACATCAAATATAAATGGATTAATTAATAAATGTCCATAGGCAAAGTTGTCTTGCTTATTACAAACCAGAGTCTTGTAAAAAGTAAAGTGGCCGGGCACCACTGACAATAACCCGGATTCTAAACCTAGTAGAGATGCAAGTGGTTTTGAGTTGGATACTTTTAGTCTTCAAATCTTCAATCTTGTTCTCCTTCGGGCTCCTTTTCTTCAAGCTCCTTGGATTCTTCGTAGTAGGCTACCCAAATTGATAAGAGGGCACTTCCTTTGAGGGGAAGGTCACTCTTTCCTCTTTGGGTAGGGAAGAAGTGATCCAAATTTGAATCTCGAAATAGAAAATGGCTACTCCCCTAAGGGGTGTCCTTTTCTCTTTGGAATCGAATCTTTGGATCTAAGTATCCCAACTCAAAACTACACTTTCACAACGCTTAACACTTACACAAATTATATTTGTATAAAAATAAAAATTCTAGACTATCCTGCAGGGTTATCCTAAGTAGTTAATAAATCAAGATCATTTATTTCCAAGCAGTTATATATGTGTAGAAAATTAAATAAATATACTGGCCACGCTCTTTTTATTTGGGGGCTTTAGCAGCTGAAGCACATGTGCAAGCATAATTATAATTAATTTTTTTTATTTAGCCCCCTTTTTCATCGCCCTGCATGAGCGTGGCCACCTACAGAAAACTGTGTGAACATCCAGATCGTTCCTATCCTAAGGATAATCTAGTCGCCAAACACCTCAATCATCCACAAAGTGCAGTAAAAAAATAAACAGACACAGCAAGGCAATGTCATCCACAACATGCAGTAAAATCATAA